TACTCATTAGCTGCTGTTTACAGCGGGCGCGGCACTCAGATGAGGGCTGCTATTACGGCCGGCCGGCCAGCTGCTGCCCAAGCCACACACCCTCCCCACCCCGCTTGCGCACGTAGGTGCACACACATCCACAATGAAGCCCAGCGCTTCTCCCTGCAGCCCCACCCTCCCCGGGCACTGTGCTGCAGCCCCACACACTCAGATTCAATCACATGAACATACCCATCCCCAAGCAAGCATACCAGCTCACCATACAAGTCAGCTCCTGACACACCTCTCCCAAGGGGCCCTTCCTGATAGAAGCTACGGAGCCCCCCCACCCCCAGCCCAGAGCAGGCCCAAGGCGCCAGCCCGCCTTCCCACCAACTGGGAAAAAATTCCAGGCGCGAGCTCTGGGTGCCATCCAGCCCCTTCCACAGGTCCCATGCTGTCTGCCAACTTGGTTCCAACCCCTGGGGAATTTGCTGGGTGAGACCAGAGCCCTGCCCTCCAGACAGCAGTTGGATGGGGCCCAGCGGGGCTGCCCCTATCACCTGGAAGGTCAGGGACCTCAATGTCCATCAAACTGGCACAACTCACCTGGCACCACCAGCTGGGGTTCCCTGGCAAGGCAGGTGGGCACCCGGGCTGGGCCTGGCACAGGCTGGCTCCGGCACCTGGCCAGGCCAGTGACCGTCCTGACTGAGGGGGCTGACCTCACCAGCTAAATGTGCCACCTGCTGGGCATTGCCCAGGAAGCAGGGGGCCAACTCCACTCGGGCTCCATGCCCACCTGGGATGCCTCGGTGTCTCTGAGGGGCAGACTCTGCCGCCAGCCAGACCTGGGCCTTCCGCCCACCACGGATCCCCTCTCACCAGCTCCTCTCCCTGCTGTTCCTGGCCTCACTCCCCTGGGGGAAGCAGTTATTGAAAACAGTCCATCTGATTCAACAAGGATTCAAAGCCCCTGAGAGAATAGGGGGTGGGTGGGAGTGAGGGTGAGGGGAGCGAGGGGGTAGGAGTGGAGGACCATCCACCCCTCCTCTGCCTCTTTGGTCACCCTCACCACATCCTGCAACAGCAGAGCCAGAGGGCAAAAGGGGACAGCCCCTCACTTACACTCTTTCTTGACCTCAGTGCCCCTTAGGTGGGAGCTTGAGGTTAGCTAGCGGCAGGGCCTAGCGGTCCAGGGCCTGTCTTTGCTCACCTGATACCCATCCACCTGCTCCCTTGCTGTCCAGCTGTCCCTTCACCTGGCCCTCACCTGGCCCTTACCTGGCTCGTATGACTCTGCCCCATTCTAACCTGCTGTAGCCCCTTCCCCTCACTGAGGAGAAACTTTGGGGCTGTCTCCCCTAACTCCCCCCCTTGAGCCCTTTCCACAAGGCCACTGAATAGCACAAACTGGGGCCAAGAGGGGCCTGTCTCGACGGTAACACTACAGCTTGGGGGTACTGGTTATCAGGGCCCAGAACAACCCCCACCCCCGGCCTGCGTTTCAGATCTGCTTAGCCCCAGGTGTCCCTCCCTGCCATGGCCTGTTGGCAGGTCATTTGCTCTTTGGTCCCAGACTGTGATCCAAGCCTTGGATGCAGGTGAGGGGGGCCTGGTCCTGTGCAGACAGGGTGGGGGGTGGGGGTGTCAGTGGAATGAAATTATCAAGCCGAGAGTCAATGCCCTTTTCTCTAAACCTGGTGGCCCTCACGGCACACCGCTGATCTGCCTATTCAGCCATACCCCTAACTCCTGCCCCACACAGCACCCACCAGCTCTGCCCCTGACTTGTGCCCAGTGGGGGAGGTCTGGCCTGGACTATCTCGTGGACACTTCTGCCTTGAGAGTGGAAACCCCCGATGCCCATTCCTGATTTCAGACCCAAGTCCTCCTGCCACCACACACCCCGGGAACAACCTGCCTGGTCAAGCCGCTGTAGGGGCAGAGTCCACTAACAGGTGGGACAGATGGAGGCTCCAAACCCTGTGACCCCAGGGAGGAGGCTCCCAGGGAGCAGGGGACAGGGAGGCTGCCACTAGGACCTGACCTCCCCCAGCACTGCTGCATCAGCCCAGCCTGTCCCCTGCTGGCCTTCTTACCAGCCCACCACAAGGTCACCTCTCCCTCCTCCCTCTTGCCTGCCATCCTGCCTGCCCACTGCAACACTGACCCCTGCAGGCCTGCTGAGGCCCTGCCTGGCCCGGGACAGGCCGGCAGAGGGACACAGGAGGCCTAGACAGGCCAGCTGAGGGATGACCAGAGCGGGAGGGCTGAGGGCAGGGACAGGGCAGTGTGTCTATGGGAGGGGGTATGGGGAGGCTGCAGGCATGGCTGGGGGAGGCTGGCAGAGTTTCGAGCAGGAGCCGATGGTGTGTGTGGGAGGGGGGCTGGTTTGCGTTCTTCAATGGGCTCAGGCTTTTTCCCACAGTCCCTTGCTTCATCCATACTAGATTAGGAAGTGAAGTGGGGTGGGGGGGGAGAGGGCGGGAGCCTGAGTGGGGGAGGGAGTCACACCTATCACCTATTGAGTAGGTCAAGGCATCAGGCTGTGCCCTGTGGGGATCTGCAGAGTGAGTGGGATGAGAGAGGGAGTAACTTGGAAGCTCCTGGGAGCCAGCCTGGGGTGTGACGGAGCAGGAGATAAAAAAAAGAACAAGTTGGGCCACAGGTGTTCCTAGGAGTGGGATGAGGGGGTTAGGACGTCCAAGATACTGGCCCCTGAGAGACCAGAGGAGAGAGGAGGGACTGGCCAGAGTCACACAGGAACTAATTTGCATATTTCACTCCCACCTGGTGCCAGCCAAAGGGGAGGTGAGGTGCAGAAATGGGGGACACAGAGCTATGGTGGTGGTGGGGGCACTTGGGGGGCCTGGGGTGAGCTGAGGGGAGGCAAGGTCTAGCCTGGTGCTGAAGGGATCGTAGGAGATGGGCAGGATACCAGGGACACAGAGACCAGACAGTGGTCTCTGACCCCTCAGAGGCCCTCAGAGGACTAGGATCAAAAGCAGACTCGCCCTTTCCAACCTATTTCTGATGTTACCCAGTCAGATGCTCACACCAGACAGAAGTGAACCTCAAGCCAGCCCCTTCCCCAGTCAGAGCTGCCCCTACCCCAGGCACTGGTGGGCCCTGTATTGCAGCTAGAATGAGCAGGACAGCCCTCCACCCCAGACAGGCAAGGAGGCCAAATCCAAGAGGGGAAGAAGGAAAGGACTAGGGGCTGCCACACACCAGACAGCAGTGGCTCCCAGGTCCTTTGCCCAGAAGATGCCTAGCACATCAAGTTGGCCTCCATGGAGACGGCAGAGGTGCTTGGAGGAGTCATAATGTCATATGCCCAGGTGTGGAAGGGAAGAGAAGGCAGGGAGTGGGGACAAACGCAGGGCCCCAGGCCACTGGCCTAACGGGAGGGGGGAGGCTGACAGCCTGGCAGGGCAGGAGGAGGGAATGTCCTTACTGCATCCCTCCTTCTTTCCTTACACCCCAGATCTGGTCTCTGAACTAAGTTATCGGCTTCTGGGAGTGGTCCAAGTGATGGGAGCTGATGGCTTTTGGGGGGGAAGATGCCAAGGGTAGATGACTTCGGTGCAGACAGATGAGGCGATGGGTCTCCAAAGGCACTGTGCCTTCAGCCCTCACTTAGAGGACATTCATAGAAGGGCTGAGTTTCCAGAGAGGGGGCTGAGTCTCTTTCACCCTTATACCCAAGTGCAGAGGGGGTGCAGTTCCTGGAGCTGGTAGGTCATCCTCAACCAACTCCAGCTGAACAATGGGAGTGAGAGTAGACCCTGAAGGAGGCAGGGACAGGTGGAGGCTGCCCCTAGAGGGAAGAGAGAGCTGATGTGGGGCTGGGGCAAGAGCGGGCAACGCCAGCGCCCACTGGACTGCCCTCAAGAGCTTGAAGGGCTCTAGGTCCCTTCTGGGGAGGGTCTTAGGTGCTGTCCCCTCCCCCCAGCATCCCCAACCCCAGGAAATCCACAGTCATGAGCCCCTAGCTTCTTCATCTGGGAGTAAGTCCTCAGGCTGGGGTGTCGTGCTTTCAGCGTCAGAGGGAAGCCCAAAGACGGATACCCTGATGCCAGAGCTGGCCAACTGAAGGTGTTGGGCCTGGGGTGGGGCACCCTAGGTGGGTGCTGGGACACAGCCTGGGCCGGAGCTGCAGTGGACCTGCCTACAGGTGGGCATAGGGTGAGAAGGCGTCGAGAACCAAGGAGGAAATGGCAGAGCAATTTCCCGAGGAAGGAGGATAGATTCCTAGGCTGCGAGGATGCCAAGCAGACGTGGGCTCCCAGGCCACTCCCTGGGCTGGGAGAAACGCAGGGGAGCGCGACCGCTCCCCCCTTCCCCCTCACAGGACTGGAGTGAGTTTGGGGTTCTTTGATTCCCCCCTCCCCAAGCTAGGAGCACATTTCCCTGCCACCCGTATTCTCACCACCCTCTGCTCTCCCTCCCTTCAGGTACCCTTGCCGCCCCACTCAACGCTCCTGTGGAGCCCCCCTCCCCAGAGATCCCCTTGTCGGCTGCTGCCAAGATCCCCACTTGTCCCCTGGCATCCTCTCAAGTCATAGTTGGCACCGCCGATGCCACTCCGCTCCCCTGTGCCCACAACGTTTGCCCAAAGCTGCCTGGGATCCTGGCCCTGGGGTCCCCCCGTTGCCGGTACCCCCTGGGCACTAGTGCTGGGGAACCGGGGGCGCCTCCGAGGGCACTGCCTTGCTCCCGCGAGGGCAGCGGCTCCTCGCTCCGCCACACACGTTGTCCTTGGGCTGCTGGGGGGGGGGGAGGTCCTTGCGGGGACACTGCGAAGCCGTCGCTGGGCATCCAGCCTGGCAGTGCCTGGACTGCGGGGGGCCGGGTCCAAGCTGCTGCCGCTTCAGCCCGCGCCCCCCGGGCTGGAAGGACCCTAGGGGGAGTCCGTGCGGCTCCGCGGACAGCAGTCCGGGGCTGGGGCTCCGAGCCTGCGCCGGGCGCTGCCGCTGTCCTGCCCGCCGGTGCGGGGCGCCCCCGCCGCACGGGGCCTCGCTTACCTGGGCTGGCCGCCTCCAGGTCCCGGTACATGGTCCCCTCGTCTCCGGCTCCCTCTGGGCTCCTCAGAGCCGCTCGCTGCCGCGCGCTGCTCCGCCGCCGCTGCAGGGCATGGGGC